AAAGAAAAGAATGAATGTTTTTGTATATCCAACTGTCTGTTTTCATATGTCTTAATCAAAGAAATGTGATTTTAATCTGTCCTCTTACAGAAAGAAAAGGCCTGCCTAAAGATCCATTAAGTTTTGTTTAAAGAAGTATTCACACTAAGTTTATGCAATCTGTGTGTTTGTGTTTTATTGTTTACAGGTGGACTCCTAACGATGTTGCACGGGTAAGTTTTTCTCCTTGCCTTTGTTTTAAACTAAACTTTAAGCTAAACTGAGGCAGCACACGTCTGCAACACATAGAAATACAAAAGACTTGTGGGAAAAATATTAAATAATTAAGTATAAACATTTAAGAGACACAAATGCATGTAGAAGTAAAAGGAAAAACAAAAAATATGTATTTTAAAAAACATTCAAATTAAAATTATGTGTTAAAATATATAGACTTATTTATGCTAACCTGGAAAAATAAATATTAAAGTTGTTTAAAAAACATGAGATAAAGTTCTCCTTTGTTATTTTCATTGGTGCATTTCAAATGTATTTATTTAGTGGTTCATTTACATAAATGTCAGTTTCGGTCCTCCATACTTCAAGAAGCCTGATAATCATCCATTCATTCAAATCAGGTGTGTTGGAGCAGAGAAACAAGTAAAACATGCAGGGCTGCGGCCCTCSAGGACCAGGATTGCCCACCCCTGGTACAAAGAATTGTTACCAAAGCTACAAGTTCATATTTAATGTTTGGATTTGCAGGTTCACATGTGTGGAGTTTAAATGGTAAAAAGGAGATAATTGAAGATCWGATGTTTCAGCTCAGAATAAAACCAAATCTTGTAAACATTTTAATTTTTAAATCATAACTTGAAGAAAGCCACTAGTGTGGACCATCTGCTGGAGCAGAGTTGTTCTGAGTAGCATGTCCATCATCTTGAGAAAAGTTTCACATTGGCCAGCAGGTGGCAGTGAATAAACTGATTTAGATCACGTGCATCAACCTGCCATAGGKTAAAGGGTGTCCAACCCAGGGCTGCTGCCCTGCAGGTTTCCCTGCTTTACCTCTTCTGTAGAAGTCTGTCAGCTGTGTTGGAGAGAGCTAAACATGCAGGTTAGAACAAGACTGGACACTGCAGTGGGAACGATGCAGGGGAATACATGTTTATTGAAATCAGCAAGGGTGTAACTTTAGGTCTACCACTGGGGGGGGGGGGGGGGGGCCTGATTGAAAACCCTCCATGTAAATTATGCTCAAATGTACATGACCGTAAATTTTCTAATTAAGTAAAAGTTACCTAAAGATGAGTTGCATCCGTCCATTTCTATTGTGTCTGAGCAAATTGTCATTTTATGGGTGAGGGTRTATGGACTGGGTGAAATTGTGGGGGTCATAACCCCCCACATGCCTAGGAAATCAGTTGCATCTCCAAGTTTACAGCAAAACTTGGAATTTGAGAAAAGTTGACTAAACACATTGAGTCAAATATGCCTTGTAAGCCTTCARTTTCAGAACTGCATTTGAATTTGCTTTGAAGTTTGTAAACAAGCTTAGCGCAAAATAATTATAAGTCAGGTTTGACAGTTTTAAATTTTCAGCACCATTTGAGCTTGGATGTGTTTAGGATGTATTTAACACATCCATGTCTGAACCTTAGACTGAGCACTGCCCATTGTTAGCATCTGTGACAGCATGGAGGAGCAGAAACAGATCAAACAGGGCATCAGTTCACAACCACCATAGAAACTGATAAACAGCAAGCTGAACTGGACAATTTCATAAATAGTCATGTTTTTACAATAAATTTCTTTCAATGTAAAACAGACACCAGAAAAATATAACAATCTAAACCAGACCTGAAGATAGCCTGTAACTTTAGTTTAAAAATGACTTCAGCTAAAAGTATTTATATTTCTGTCATATTTACCATGCAGTCACTTAGAACATGTTCTCTGTATACAGGATGAAAATTAGCTAAACTCAGGTTCTTCCAACAAACCTTAATACCTTACTTTTATATACTGTAGGTCTAAATCTCAGTACAAATTGGCTACAAGTTCGTGTTAAATTGTGGCTTGATTCAGCAGAGTGCCACAAGCCAACATCTGCTAACCAGTTCAGTGTTTAATCTTAAAGTCGATGTTGACACAGTTTTAGCTTCAGATAGAGCTAGAGATCAAATCTGCCTGTTGTGAAATTGTTTTCCTGCTCCATTAATCCATAACTTAAGATTTGGTTAGTTTTCTTGATTCATAGTACTTTCCCCTGCTCTGTTGCCAATTTACACAGTAATTGTAAATTTAAACTGACAGCCTTTTCAGCTACAGCTGATCAGTTTCTTAACACCACTTATACAACCTCCTTGGTCTGAACCCATTGTTATCAGAGCCTCCCAGGTTCTGGAGAAAATAAAAGCCCAAAGAAATCCCCCCCACCCAATTCAAAACCCAGCACACCACTCCGTTTCCATTAGTGTCCTTTTGAAAGCATGCAGTCAGTTGCGTTTGTAGGAATGATCTTTATTTTGAATCAATAATATCTGAAGGGTCAGAGACCGTAGCATTAATCTTTACAGTCTTTACTTTTGGCGGAGAGTTGCCGTTCAGGTTGTTAGAGTCTGTTGTGTTCTTGGCCACAGATTTTGTTTCCATCTCCTGGATCAAGTCTTCTGGTTCAGTTTCCTCTTCAGCTGCAAAGAACAAAGTCGTTTAAGATGTCAGATTCTTTAGACAAGTTTTTTTTTTTTTTTTAAATTTCTCCAAACTTACCTCCTAGTTCATTGTCGCCTTCAGCTTCCAGTTCTGGTGTATAATCAGTGATTAGTCCTTCTTGAGCTAGAAGGAAGTTTTTGAACATTTCATTTTGCGTTCAGCACAAAGCTTCAGACAGATTTACAGTCAACTCACCATTCCTGTTGACTCCACTCCTCCAGTAGCTGCCGTACAGAGCAGGTCTGTGGATGTTATAGAGAACCTCAGGGAGTTCCTCTGCAGGCAGAGGCCTRCTTTTCCTTGATGGCAGAACCACCAGTGGACCCACGCTCGCCTCATGGTCCCATGCTAAAGAATTCATAAACTTACAATCCATTCAGGCAAACAAAAACCCACCATAGACAGAATCTTTACCCTGGTTAGTCTTCAGCTCATATCKCAACATGTGTTCAGCATCTGGCACACTTCCAAAAGCCCGAGGRCTGAACACACCAGAGATGGTCTTTGTGGACACGTCGTTTGTGTTCTTACAGTAACCACACAGGTAGTCGTTGCCGTCAGCTGAGCGCCACCTGTAGAGGTTTTTAGTTATTGGTTGAAATTCACACGACAGTTACAGACACCATACTTGCCTTCCATTCATGAAGGTGCAGGCCTTGTCTGGTGCTTCTGCATCATTCATCGGCACAACATTCAGGTGGCATGTGATGTAGAGCTGCAAGGAAGGAAAACAGTTCATGAAAAATATATACAAATAAAAAGTCAGATTTTAAAATTAAATACACCTACCTGACCACGGTCAACATCATGGAACTTAAAGGCTTCAATGGTCAACTGCAGCTTGTCCTCTTGAATTCTGGGCAGGAAGTGGGCCTTTGATTCTGGAAGCTGGGAGTCAACCAGGCACCTTTAAAGATGACACATTACATTTAAAAAGGTGTAAGAACTGTAAGAATCGTGCCCACATTAACACCTCAGTAGAGACGAGAGGTACAGGTCAAGTCCAGCCAGCAGTGACAGACGTCTGGAGACTCAGCTTTAATTCTTACCCATCCTCAATGAAGAGGTATTTAGGATCCGAGTTGATGTCTGGCTGAAGTGTGGCCACGCAGCTGCTCATGAACACCCTGAGCCCCATGTGATGACCGACTCGCACCGAAGCCTCCAGGTTGATTGGCTCGCCCAGGTGGAACACGTTGGCGCCTCTTTCATACATCCAGTCACCTGGGARGAAAACAAATAAATAAATCCAAGCAGATGTTTGACCAGAACCTGGTTTAGAAGGAGCCAACTCACTGGACATGATCTTCAGGTTAAACACCAGAGCTTCCACTGCAGACTGGGTTGATGTGAAGGGAATCCAAGTTGGCTTGAGGGAAGAACTGGACAGGCTGTACTTCCTGAAAAAGAAAACTWAAGTCAGTGTTTTGTCATCCCAGATGTGGTTTAACAATAAAATAAAAAGGCTGACCTTCCATAATGACACTCAATAGGAATTACAGCATTATCCATGCGAACAATCCCAGCAGGAGACACCACAGGAGAGTAGATGAGGAGGTTTGTGTAGACCAGGGAGTCCTCGGTCATCTGAGACATGAAGTGTGATTAGATRGAGAAGTTAAGAGGGGAAACATTGTAGAAGATGAAGTTACCCAGTGTTTGGTGCCGCAGTCATCCAGTCCGATGACGATCCTGTACTCCTCTGGTGACGAGGCTTCGGCCCTGCAGAACTCTCTGTTCTCCACACCCAGGTGCAGCTCCTGGCTGTCGACGGGGGCGCCGGTCGCGAACATGTCAGCTTCGATCACAACCTCCAGRGAGTCCGGGTGGCAGAGCACAGTGACCGTGTTCACCTGCCTTGGCACCTGCTGCTGCTGGGCCCCATAAGAGGGTCTCTGTGGAGCCTGGGGTTTTTGAAACAAGACAACCCGCTGGGGGTACATTTGTGGAAAAGCAAGAGATGAGCAAGTCAGAAAGAGTCCCAAAAGGACGCTGATCCGAAGCCACAAAATCTCCATGAGGTCTCAAACAGCGGCAGCAACCAGGATCAGACTGCAAGTGTTTCTTTCTGACCCACAAGACAGTGCTTCAGAGAGCACAGGGGGGCAATTTAAAGCCCTGCAGAGCCACACCTGAAGCCAGTCATCTGCTAATCAGCTTCTAATTGACTCCACCTTCAGCTCAGTTCTGACAGGAAAAATACCTAAACTTTTCTGATCTAAAAATGGTATGAATTAAGATAAAAATGCAACTGAGATGTTTTATTTTTATGTATAAAATCTAATAGAGACGCTTTAAGCAAAAAAAAAAAAAGGCTTCTTATTGGTTCATTTAAATTTTAAAGTCTGGCTGTTTGTTTCTGTTCTAAAACCAGGAGGTAATCTGAAAACTTGAAATGTATTTGTAGTGTATTTTGCTTTAGATTGATGTCAAATTCACACCAGCCTGTCATGTTTCTCATGTTTTTATTTTAGAAAAATAGTAGTTTGCAGCTTGAAATATACATTTTTCAATGCAAGCTCAATCGAAACACATTTAAAATCAGGCTGAGACAGAAAAACTCAAGAAATCTGATCAACGTGTTTGTTGAGAATCAAAAATCAAAACAAATGAATTATTCCGGCTTTCATTTCTGAATTCTTTAAAGTGGACACATCGTCTCAGCAAAGAGGTCACACATTGATTTAACTTTTTACTAGTGTTGTCTATGTTTTGTTTATTTTTACCTTTTTAATTCTGTGGTGTGAATAAAGAACTTTGTTTTCTGTATTAATCAGACAGATAAATAGTGACAGGGTTTCAAAGACAAAGTTTCAWCAACATGAAGAGCATTTTAATGCTGATTCTCCACATCTGATAAAATACATGACTGATAATAAACTCACTGTTTTGTTTTTTTGTAAAGACACTCAGGTATAAAATAAAGTCAGTGCAACATTTAAACTATTGTAAGGAGGATGAGGATTTGATGTTGTTGTTTTTTTTTTTTTTACTTACAGAAAATGTGCAACAGGTCAGACACAGGACATGATTTCATCGTCTGCTTTTGCTTTGAAGCTTCTCTTCCTGCTCTGTGGTGAAGAACAATACCAGGGTGGGGGGTGGAGGAGGGTGTCCATGTCTCACAGGAAGGAGAAGAGCAGAGGAGGACTGTTGGATGACACATCTTTCACTTCTTTTATTCACTCAGAAGCCATGAAGACACATCTGCYTCATTTACTGCTTTTGACTCAGATCTTTGAAGGTAAGAAATGTTCCTCAGAGTTAAAGGTGTTAACTCCTAAATCTAACTCATGTGTTTTCAATGAGCCTCAGTGTGTTGTGTTCAGTTTATTTTGTAGTCAGGATGAACTGTTTTCAGACATTTTTAGAGAACATCCCTCCTCCTCCTCCAGTCTGTGCAGAGTTGAAGCTTCTGACCGAGGGTCAGTCCCTGAGGCTCTCCTGCACCCCTCAGCAGGGCCTTGGGCCTCTGAGGGGCCTCCACCTGTACCACCACGGGGGTCAGGCTCAGACCACACTGCTGTCCGTGGCTGAGAGCGGGGCGGTCAGGGTGGACCCGGGTCGTGGTGCCCGCCTGCAGCTGCAGCTGAGCGGGGGTCTGAGCTCAGCGGGGGTCAAAGTGAGCATCTCTCCCCTGCAGCCGAGCGACTCGGGACTTTACGTGTGGGAGCTGAGTTACAGAGAGAGGGACGGTTCAGATCTGACCATCCTGGGGGAAAACAAGACCCTCCTGCTGGTGGAAGGTGCAGGTTTGAAGTTAAACCGCTGCAGCTGTGAAACAAAACCTGCGGAAACACTAACGTGTTTGTGTTGCAGGAAGAGCATGCAGCTGCTCYCAGAGCCACATCAGTCTGCTGCTGACCCTCTCTGCAGCTGCAGTGCTTCTCCTGCTGGCCTTCAGCTGGATGCTCGTAGACAAATGTGTGAGTATTTCTGTCCTTGGAGCATATTAAAACAGATTTATCTCATTAAAACAATTCTTTAATGTTTCCAGTGAACTTTGTAATATTTTTGGKCTGCATTAAATCAGAAATAACAATCAGCAGCTGCAAAAGTGAGTTTTATAAAAGCCCACCATTGATATTTTAGTGTCTTTTCCTCATAGATAAAAATGACCTGAACTACCTCTTCTTACCTTTTACACCTGCAAACAATAAAACAACATAAAATTTGGTGAAATAATTTAGTTACAGCTTCACAAATATGAATTCAAGCATGTACTTTCAGAATAACTGAGATACTTTGTAAAAAAAAACAGGGAACATAGAATATATTTTCAACTAATATAGAGAGTAAGATCAATTCAAACAGTTTACCAAATTATTACAGAAATTTAAAACTAATTTTAGTAGCAACCTCCTGTCATTCAATGGGACATTAAAGGCCTCAGACAATTTGAGAAAACACACAATTACAAGTCAGATTCAGAAAGCCTGTTTTTGCATAAAATCCCATTTAAACGGTAATTTGTCCTTTCTGGTGGTTTTAAACAAAAAAGGAGGCTTTGAAACAAATTTAAAGAAMACAAATTTTATAAAACCTTGTAAATAAACACTAACATGTAAACTATTGTGAAACCTGTCCTAAGGAAAGGTTTTCTGAAACCTTTATCCRTGTGTCGTAGATAAAGGCGAGCCTCGCCCCCGCCCTGCAGCCTCACTCCCCCATCTACGAGGAAATGARCAGGAAGGCGCAGCCCCCCGGCAGCCCCAAGAACAACGGCGAGCCGCCCTCACACCTGGAGGAAATAAACTTCCCAGTTTACGCCAATCCAGACATCATCCAGCAACCGCAGGACAACTATTACGCCTGTCCCCGAAAACCCGTCACGCTGACAGGAAACGACATCACAGGACCCCCGCATGTTTTCAGTTTCTAAATCAACTGATTTAATTTTGGTGCTCGAGTGTGAGCAGGAGATGTAAATATTTATTAAATATCTTWCGTTGAATATGATCCCATGTTTTTGGATTTTGGGTGTTCGGGCCTCCTGCCCGGTGAGGCAGCAGCTCCTTGCGGCCCTGAACACAAGAGGGTGAATCTGGAAGGATGGATTTATTTCATCCTTAAATACAGTTCTTACAGCTTAAACTTCAACCAAACCATTTTGCGAAACTTTAAACATGAAAAAACATCATGAGACCAAACAGAAGAAATATAGGAAACTATTTTAACAGAGAAAATATTGTTTTCTATTCTGGTTTCCTATTAGTCCCTTTTATACAGTAAGAAATTATTATAAAATGCTGAATATTTACGAGTACTATGTGAGACTTTCTGATCGATGCTAATTATTAAAAATCATTTTGATTACACCGTTTATTTGTTTATTTGTGGCCAAAATGTATTATTTTAATAAACAAAACAATTGTTTTAGTAGAAAGCTTTCAGAAGAAATTTAAAGGATCCTGTTGAGTCAGAATGATCCTAAAAGTAAATTAGTTGTAATGTGCATCTATGGTTCCCAACCCTGGTCCTCAAGGACCCCTATCCAGCTTGTTTTACTTTCCCTGCTCTTCAGCAGGTCTTCAGAAGATTGTTAATTCATTCAAACCAGGTGTGTCAAATCAGGGAAGCATCTGAAAATCACTGTTTTAAATGTTGACCAACACCTGAAGAGATTCTCTGAGCTTGATGAGACATTTTCAAAATATATTGACTCAGTTTAATGTTCTTWAGTATTGCCTCTGGAAGCCGTTGATTCTTTGTCATTTATTTGTAAATAATAAATCAGATAACGTATTAAAGCAGTGATTCTCAACCCTGGTCCTCAAGGACTCCTTTCCTGCATGTTTAGAGGTTTCCCTGATTTGACACACCTGGTTCGAAAGACTGAGTGGATACTATGAGTTTTATTAAGTTTGTTTAGTCATTGGAGATATTTTGCTAACACATTCGTTTTAAACCGTTTGTGGTAAAGCTGAAACCCATTCTAATGTCCTCATTGTCTAAATGTGGCTGAGTWATGGCTGTTTTTGTGTGGAAAGGGAGTTTTAATAATGGTTCTGGAGATATTTCAAAGAGAATTAAGTTTTAAACAGGATCTGAAGTGTTCCCCATATTTTATTTTTTAGATCATTTTTGGCAAATTRCATTGCCATGGTAAGTTCAAACATCACTAAAAGCCATGACACTTAGTCAGATGAGTCTGYAGAATTTAGCCCAAATTACTGACATCGTACACATTTACCTACTATTAAAAACAATCTAGCGTTGGAAATTATGTTAAGATTTTAAGAATTTAGAGTAGAACCTGGAACAAATTGGACAAATTAAATTTTAACAGGGACTTTTTTTAAAGACTATACTAAGTGAATAAGAACCACCTCGGGGTGGGGTTTCAACAAGTTTAACAGACAAAACAAAACAGAAAACCAAAAAAATGCTATTTTTATTAATATTTGAAAGAAGCTCCATAGTTCATGAAAACATTTGTTTCGGTGCATGTCATTTAACAATCACATTCTATGAGGAGAAAGAGATATACAGACAGAAAAACATAAAACTTTACAAGCCACTGACTTCTCAATAACTCTCAGTAACAACATTTTTACTTAGTATCTTAACATAAAGGCAAAAAAAAAAAAAAAAGAAAACAAAAGCAGCCCTAGTACAACCCCCACCCTCCATAAAACCCTTAACAACAGAAGACAAAATAAAAGCCCGTGAGGGTGACAGGCTAGAATCCCACAGTGCTAAAGTGTGAGATGCTCATTGGTTTTAGGAATACACAGCATGGCGACGTAGCGCTAGGTCAGTTTGAAATGTGGGGAGGGAAGATGGAGGTGGAGGGCCTCGACACGAACCCCTCCATCCCCAACAACTTCACCCTAAAAAAAAAAAAAAAAATCCTCAAAAACACCCTCAAAAYCCCAGCAAATAAGATCAGTCGCTAAGAGGAAGTAGGCCATAACCCTCTGCCCCCACCCAACACTTGTGCATAGATTCATGATCCTTTAACCAGCTCGATTTACATACATCCTCCAAAAACATGGAAAAAATAAAAGCTCCAAAAAAAAAAAACAACATGTGATTTATTCGTAATAAGACCCGCAGAGGGAGTACGAGAGAAAGAAGGAATAATGCACAAAGTTCCTGATTCGGTCAGGACGGGACCTCAATAAGAAAACACAAGAAAGAGTCAAACATACAGCATTTTGCATGTTATTCACCATTTTTTAAACAAACTCACTGACCACTTTTTTTTTGTTGTTTTTAAATGTAAAGCAATTTTAATATATAGATTTATAATATAAAGCACTCATTATTTTTTCGTTTAAAGTCCATTATTTGGTTATTATGTAACTGCTACGGATTTAGAAACAAAAAGGTATTTTCTTCTGAAATCCATAACCTTCAGTGCTCAAAATTGATTTTTTAAGTCATTTTTTTTCTTTTTTAAATTTTTATTTATTTTTCTTAACGTATCATAAAAATGTACATTAAAATGACGTGGAGTTGGTACTCTGGAACCCTGGCTTTCCTGAGACAAGATCCACTTTTTTGTGTGTGCAAGACAATGAGCAATTATCTTTTTTCCCTCTATAAAAGAAAAAAAAACAAACATAAAACCAGGCTTCAGACAGTCCATAAAATCAACATTACTACAGAACAAAGGTTAAACAGAAACAAAACAACACTGTTTAATCCCAGAGTTCTGAAAGTAGCACGAGAAATCTTCATTCTGTGAAGTGTTGCACTTTTTTTAATTGGAAGCATTTGTCCTTTTCTCTCTTATTTCCAACATTCCTGTGGTTTATTTCCTCCTTTGTTTTGCTGTTTTTGTAACGCCAGAAGAAAAAAATAAAATAAAAACTGTAAACTGTCAGTGGCCTTGCAGAACAAAACTATACTGATCAACACAAGTAAAATAAGCTTAAAAAAATAAAGTAGGCACCTCTGAGGTGAGCCCTAGAAGCCAAGGCTCGGTCTGATGTCTCGTCCTTCACTCTGTTTGCTCAGATTTGGGAGAACTGAAGTCCCTCTATCCCAATCTATGGCCACAGATCTGCAAAATACTTTTTTTTTGCTGCATTTTTATACATATAGAATTTTTTTCTTTTTTTTTTTTAAGGTTTACAGTCTGAAAATTGGTGCAATACTCAATTATGATCCATACTTTCTTGGATTATTCCACAATGAAAGCCACTAAGGTAGATAAACATTACATTTAGAGAAAAAAATAAAATAAAATAAAATAAAATAACACACTTATTTTAGTCCTTGAGTAAACATTTACACATGAACTGTCCCCGTCCCCCCTCGGTACTTGTTATCATGTTGTTCATGTAGCTGGATGAGGGGTGAGGCCGACACTCAGTGCAACGCTAGAGGCTAGTTACAACATTAGAATATAATTTTGACGAGCAAAAAAAAAAAAGACGTAAAAATATTCTGAATTGAAAAAAGAAAAACACACCGTCACCGAAGCCGTCTCGCGTGTTTCTGACCTGACGCTGCAAACATTCATTCACTCATACAGTACAAGCAGCCTTGTGCAAACACTCCAATACAAGATGTAAAATTAGCCTTTTTAAAATCGATTCTTCGTTTTCAACATTTCAATCTGTTTTTTTTTTAAATCACTCTGAACAGATGCTATCAAAAAATCTCTGAAGTGTATGAATGAGACAGAAACAAAACAAAAACACTACAAAAAGTGTTCACATTACATTATTGGCGCTTCTTTTGATTCAAGTATTTCTTTTTCATTTTGTATTACTCTGATATGTTTATACTCTTGTCTTCTGGGAAATATAATGTTGGATACAGAGGGGAAGGGCTGAAGCATAGGAAAACAGATAAAAATCCAGCCAAACACACATACACCCTTTATGTACTCTTGGTTGTATACTGTGTGTGAGCTAGTGTGTGCATATTCAACCCAGTCCTCCTTGGGTTTTTTTTTTAAATATATATATTTTTTTAAATTTTAAAGACTTTTTTTTCATTTTTTTAAGGGGGTCCCTGCCCAGACTTCTTGTCTGATCCATGATTGAAAATTTAAGCTCCAGTTGCTTTTGAGTCCACTTTAAAAAGGGAATCATTAAAAAACAAATTGAAAACAAAGCATGTGATTTCCGACACTTAAACAGGTAGATAAGAGTGCAGCAGTGCGGGAGAGGCTCTCAGTGCTGGTGCTGCGCCAAGAAAATCCACATCTGAGGCTCCCCTCCCCCCCACTCTGTCCCACTTCAACGCCAGCTCCTYAATTCAAGTCCAGTGTGGAGGAAAAAAAAACAATGCAGGTTATTTTCAGGAACAATCTCACAAACAAACAGCACAGGCAAAAAGTGATTGTTTAGTTGAACGATCCGYGTCCAAGGCGTCTCTGGAAGAGGGCAAGTCCCCGAAGTTTTCTTTTTTTTTTTTTGTTTTAAGACTTGGTACCAAACTTGAGGTGCGTCTTGTGTTAAAACAAAGACGCAGGCATCTCAGCCTCGGAGTGCGCAGCAAAATAAAAAACAAAACAAAACAACAAAAAGCTCTTTTTATATATATTTTTTAGTTTTTGTGAAAACCTTGATGATAAAGAAACAAGATAATGTTTTTGGTTTTTAAAGAGATGTACCCGATGTGACCCATAAACAGTGCACAGACACATACAGGGGAGCACCCCACCCCCACCACACACACACACAAAGCCCAACCCCCCCTCCCCCCACTGCAGCCTCCAACAAAACAAGACAGTAAAAATAAAAATAATTCCAGTCCAATGTTTAAAGACCAGCATCACCGGTCCTGCACGGCCCCAGCAGCGATGACAGAAACCCAACTCTCCTCTCACTGAACATCTTCTACCATGTGAGAGAAGTGGAAGTAGATTCCAGCAGATCAGTGGCGCCGGACTGAAGAAGCGATGGCCAACGAGTACTGCCTCCAGCAGGTCGTTTTTTTTTTTTTTTTTAGTGTCGTCTAAAGAGCTCACGTCCAGGTGATGAGACTCGTTCAGTGTCCCCTACATTTTAAAACCGGGTGAGGTTTCGGGAGAAGCTGCCTGGTTGTAAAGGTTGAGATAAAAGTGGGAGACTGGCAGATGTCGGGCACGGCTGCGATTAAACACCTCCTCGTCTTTGCATAGAAATGGAAGGCTGCTGTCAGTTGAGGTGGGTTTTTTTTTTTCTAAGTGGAACTGAGTGCTCCCAGAGTTAAAGCACCAGAGTGAGTGAAGCCCGTCAAAGACGTTGGGTCCTGGAAACTTGTTTTTTTTGTTTTTTTTTGTAATTTTCCCCCCACCTGCTGCACGGCCGATGTGCACCTCTAAACTGCACGCTGGTTCGGAGGTGGTRGGAGGGGCAGGAGAGAAGCTGAACACTGCATAAAGACCATGAAATCATCATTAGAAACAATCAGAAGGTATATCATCAATGAGGACAGCAATAACATCAGCAAACGTGTTACAAGAACATTAAAAAAAGAAAAGGAAAAAAGAAAATGCACACCGGCAATATAACAAAACATATTGATTTCTGACTAAAGTGATGCCTTGCAGGAGGGAGACAGAGCGGTAGTGGCGGGTGCTGAGGACAGGAACAGTAGTCGTGACTTGGATACAGGTGTGGAGGGGGCGGGGCCAGTTCTGACAGAGCTGCTTTTGGCCTGGAGGTCCAGGTGGTGGAGGAAGAGGAGGGATGCCAGTCTGTAGGTAGGGGGCAGGGGGCTGCTGCAGCACTGCACTCTGCAGCAGGCAGGCACTCAGTGGCCATACTTTTCACACAGGTTGGCAGGGCCTCCAACAGCAACAAGAAAACAGGACAGACGAGACAGCCGGTCCTCCCTGCTGGACCGCTTTCCAAACAGCAAGGCTGAAGAGTTGCAACGTAACAGTAATGTGTACTCTGATAAACGAGGACGAGTGGCTTTAGGGCGGGCTCGCACTCGTCGTCAGTTGAGTTAGTTTTTCTTTGTATTTCCCTTCACTTTGCTACCGTGTTTGACATCCTCTGGTCCCACTGACTTCTACAAAACAAAAACAAAACAAAAAATCACATCTATGTCAAATTAAAAAATAAGTATACAGAGAAGCCACTAAGCAGATTGCTTCTTAGTCTTTGCTTTTGCAGTTTTTATTCGCCAGTGTTGCTTCTCTTTATTTCTTTTTCGTTGGCATTGAGCGTATCAGGAGCAGTGGCGCTCTAAGTGCTATGATAGACCACCTATTCACAAACCTTCGCTTYGGGTTTTCCACCAAAGCAAACACAAACCAAAAAAAAAAAAAATGGTGGTCTTCGGGGTGATCATGAAAACAGGCTCTTCTCGTTTTGGTTTGTCGCATTCTCACCAAACACACACACGCACACACACACACACAGGCCCCTACCTCTCCCCCCAGAACCAGTCTTTAGTATAAATGTGGAGAGGTGGCTGGCTGAAGAAGTGCTTTGTACGATAAGTCCTCCAATCGTGGACAGAAAATGGTTGAAGATCAGCTTGCTACTCTCTGGAGTTCACACCCTCTCAAAGGGGAGGTAAAGGGTAGTAGTGGCAGTTTTTTATTTTTCATTTTATTAAGGTGGGGGTGCAGGGTAGATAAAGTAATTGCAGTTCCCTCGTTCCTTACAGTCTGCTCTCAGTCGTAGGGCGCTTGGACGGTAAGAGTCTGTGGCTTTATATTGCACGTCACTTAAAATGGTGGGTTTGCAGGTGGAGTGGGCGTGCTGTGGAAGGAAAAACAAACGGTGGGGGGC